AATTTTTTCTGGAGTAATTATTTAAATAGAAACTTATTTCTTACTTGGAAATTGAAATGAAAAGAAGACGTACTTGTTTGTTATTTAAATAAATAAATAAATAAATAATTTAAAATAAAGAAGTTATTCGTTATTTGTAAATGTACATTAATTACCATTTGTTAGCTATTAGTTATAACAAACATTGTTTGTCATAGTATGTTCAGTAGTATATAAATAATGATAATTATTTTACAACGAATGTTGAAAACGCAGTAAATAAGGAAGAACCTATAACACTGTATTAAATTTGTAATGCATCGTAAATACAAAATATTCGTTTATTTGCGACTTAGAAATAATAAAGAATTGTTTCGTCAAACTTTCTTTTAAGCTTAATAAAAGGTGTTAATAAATTTAAACTTAATATAGGCAACGAAGGATATAAAATGAAATAATACAGGCAAATACATATTTATTAAAGCAATATACATAATAAACTACCATCTCCAAATTATGGACCAAAAGTAGACGATTAGGTGTTAGAATTAATCGAAAGGGACACAATTACTTTACAAAAATTTAATGAAACTTATTTACCTAACTTCTTTCTTAAACGGAAAAGTATATTTTCCTTGTCAAAATATTGATAAATGAATATTCTGTGAAATATGTTACAGAAGTATCATTATTTACAAAATACTCAAACGCTATCCCGTTACATTCTATACACTTCGAAAATACATCGCTTTTACAGTACTTTCATGACTAAATCAGATTATTGTTCTGCAATGTACTACAATGTAAATGTATTCATTTACTAGATAATTCATACATTTCCTACAGCACGGTAGTGAAAGAATAACGTCAAAAGTATAATGTTTTAAAATATAGGTATATTTAAAGAACCAAAATGAGAATTGAAAACACTTTATTTGATCATTTTGGCATTTCTTTTTAAGAAAATTCGTTGTTTTCATTTAATAAATATAAACACATAGTTTTGGCTGTTTTTGTCTTTTACTGTAACATATAGGTACATGAAATTACTCAGGATATTAACCTTCATAATATGCATTAGTATATCAAGGTCATTGGAAGCAGCGAGCTGGCTCCTATTCTATATAATTATCCCACATTTTCTTAGGTAACTACGTAGAAAACGTATTTCACGAACTCTTCATTTTTAGATCACCTGACCTTAATACTTTTTTACGCAAACGACAGGTTTAGACTTTTTTTTCGAATACGGAATTGTATAACCGTATAATGCACATGTCTGTTGTACTTTCGAAAACAATATCATGGTACAAGAATAGTTCACTTTGAACCTTTCACCTTTCTCATCTAACTTTTTCTTTAATTGTTATTAGAATAGATGTATAATTTGTTCCAGATGAGTGCACCACCCTGACGAATAATATTTTATTCCTTAATAAGTTGTAAAATCTACAATAGTCTCATACTTTCGACGAAAAAAATGCACCATTTATAATTTATATATAAATAATTTATTTACCAATAAGTTTTTTTTAATAAATTATTTATCTATTTATTGCAAACAATGTGGTCATCCATAATGTGTTGCGAATAACTCACTGCAAAGAATTCATTTATACATCTTTTTCACCTCTTTTCTTTCTTTCTGTAACATGTATTAATAACTACAATACAACTAGAAAAGAGCTCCCTAATAACCGGTTGTGTGGAAGTTTCGAGAAAATTGCTAGCAAATAATGATAAAATTGGTCTAAAAAACCATAGCCATCTGTTTCCGTATTTGACTTGGGTTCTACAGGGAACGCCTGCTAACAAAATGGTAAAACAAATTGGCTGCAAATTAGCAGCAAGTCTTACAACACAACCCAGGCTAAGTAACCTAGGTCAATTTATAACCTAGGCTATATTGCAAGACTTGTTGCTAATCTGCTGCCAATCTCTGTGCAAGTTGTTGATAGCAGATCTTGCATTAAACTTGTAACCATGTTGAGTACGTAACATTATACTAATTGTAAGTAGGCATTGGACAAAATTTGACTTTGCAGGTTTGGCTGACTGAGGCTATGACTTATCCCACTTGCATGGACCACCGTAACGAATAATATCTTATTCCCTTGCCTCGAACTTTCGACCAAGACAATGTCTCATGTCGATACTCCATGTCGTTCAGCACTCGGTGTTCGACCCTCAGCGGCTTGAATAAACACCCTGCTGAAAATATCGATCTTTCGTGTAGATATCAAATAGGTATTGATGCTTTCCTAAGATAACGATACTTTTGTGAGGTTTCAAACGGGTTTCGATTCGGTGCCGTATTGGATTGGTATCGATTCAAGAAGGGTCGGTATTGATACTTGATACCAAGTACCCAAACTTTTGATATGTATCGATACTTCCCACTGAGCACTTTGGGTACTGAATCGATTGAACATCATTAATACTATTGGTATCGATCCCATCACTATCCAGCGTTAATCGGGGCAATCTTAAACGGGTTCTTAATGTACACGTATACATATGTGTGTACATAAATTTAATACAAATAAGGCAATTGGTGGAAGATGCCTACGGTTTTTTATGAAATGCATAACAAATTTAATACATATACAGTGGACTCTAACTATATTGCCATGGTCGGGGCTATAGGGGAGTAAAATGGCAATGAGTTCAGAGCCCCCTCCGTTCTAAGTTTTATCGTTATAGCCTCGGCCTCCGCGCCTGCGCACAAGCTAGATTGTGCTGGTGCGCCGGCGTATGCAACGTGGTGGGAGAGCGAATTTCTGTGCTCGAAAGTACATGTAAAGGGGAAGTGCTTCGCATGGCAATATGCTTAGTGGCAATATAGTTAGAGTCCACTCTAGTTCTAGCAAACCGACGAACTTCATTTGTTATTTAAACAATACACTATTAAATGGACACTACTGAATTAATAAAAACTAAATGTGTATACATGAAACTAACAATTTCTTTATACATAATCTGGCATCTTACCCCAATGTATGAGGGTAAGATGCCTATACATTTTCAATGTGAAAAACTTAATTCGTTAATTTCTTTGCCAGGTCATTTCAACCTGAATTAAACCTGCGGGAAGAAGAACAAAAGATTGTACGGTGAATACTTTTTATTCCCCGCAATGTATACAAGTGTTTTCAAACTCTGTGCAAGTCTCATGGAACCACAATATGCAAATTCAATCAACTTGGAGTCCATTTTTGTCGCTATAGTTCCCCTTCACAAGCAATACAGAAATTATTCTTTACTGGATTAAGTAAGTTATAACATCTACTAGTATGACATCTTACCCGAATATAATTTAGGCATCTTATCCCCATGTATTAGGTTAGATGTCATGCTCGTTAAGTAAGTCAAATTGTACGCTAATCATTTATGCAAAAGTCAGAAGAAATCAGAAACATACTTCCTTTCTTCTAGCTAACAGTCTGACGCTGTTAATAACACTTTTTTTTTGTTAAAATACAAAATATCGGAGCACGAAGTTCTTATTCACACATTACAGTATACATATGTAACCTTCTTTATACCATACGTATATGTATTGGAGATTAAAACAAATACCAAGCAATATTTTAATAACAGACATGACAAATGAACTTGTAAATACCATTTTGCTACCATCTACCGAATAAATACTAAATTATTGTTATTTGGCAGCTTCCCCCGAATTACCTTCCACCATCCCAGATAGTACCATACATCCCAAGGACGTCCGTTTCATGTCCAGTTTATATCCGAATGTCCTACGTCCATTTTGGACATCCCTAGGACATTCGTAAGACTTAAATTTCGGATGTTTTAGAAACGTCCGTCCCAAAAGTTCTACGAATGTTCTCAAGACTTAAATTTCGGATGGTTTCGTTTATTATTTTTGTCAATGTCATTCTATGCAAGGTGATAGAACCGCATGAACAAGGTGTCAGTCTTTAAAGAATCAATAGAGAAATGTAACGACACTAGTGGTTTTGTGCAAAAACCTCAATAAAGTTGAAAAAACATGTTTTTTCTTAAACTGTCTCTAACCAATACAGAATCAGAATTTTGCAGTGAAAATAGAAATAAGCACAATGTACTTGGAGATCATAATCCCCAGACCTATATTTTCATTATAATTCCTTACAGGAATTTTAACCTTTTATTTATTAACAGGAACTAACTAGATCTAATTTCTACTAAATGCAGAAATCACAGGAAAATTAATCTTTTCTTTGTTAAACACAAACCAACCTAACCTAACTCCTGTCACCTTGCACAGAATGAAACCTAACCGCAATTTTAAACATTTGGGAAACGTTTCTTATACCTCTTTTAAGACATTACCATAGCGTTTTTAAAATCCCTTTAAACGTCCCCAAAACGTACAGGGAATGTTACTTTTACACATTCGGAAAACGTTCTAAGAATGTTCACAAAGGACGTCCTCAGGACGTTCCACTTTGTAAATAGGACCTTTCTAGGACATTTAAAGATCTTAGACATTTAAAGACATATGGACCTTTTCGGGACATCCTCCGAATGTACAGAACGTCCGGAACTTACGTCCATCGGGCGTACATAGGACGTTTTTGTGCTACTTGGGATTAAACGGTGAATTTATCGGGAATATTTTATATATCCCTCTCTACTGAATTTATTCATTATACATATACCAACGAGTAATTCTCCAACTCCTCTGCGATGCCATTATTCTTGTTCACATAAAAGGTGCCTAATCCAGTCCCGCAGCGTGTGCCGTCTCACAGCGTAATACATAAGAGAAACGCCGAACAAACAAAACCCGCCGTACCGAAAGAATGCAAACACACTCCTAAGGAGAGAACATTCGCAACGTTGCGCTGCCCGGATGCATCCTAGGCATCGCGATTCACGCGCGCGCTAGGGGAGACTCGTCCGTGAATCTCTGTTCGCTGTTAAATTGCGCGGGTGGGGGGATGGAACGCTCGTGATTTTCCGACTATATAAAGGCGGATGCGCCGAGGATCATTGGTATATCACGTATCGATCGTTGTTTAAGGACGAAAAGGGACAGGAATCGTTTGCACGAAGGGTCCTCGCAATGAAGACGGTGGGTGTCTCGCACAGAGAGGAAAACCTTAATTGAAACACGGGTGAATGGACATCGGGAAATGTATAATATGTATAATAATAATGATACCTACCGGGTCCTATTCGTTAAACGATCGTCCTACGCGAGTCGAGGCCCGGGCGCATCGGCCGAGGATTCCGTTTCAATCCACGGGTCGATAGCCAGGCAGGGCAGCAACCGAAAATTCTTTACGTAACCAGTGAAAGTGAAGAGGACTTTTGTGTGACATTTGTGCGTGCCGCGATGTTACACGCACCCGATGATTAATCGTGAAAATTCGCCGAGGGGGATCATCGGCCTACAGGTCCGCGGAATTTGAGAACGGATCGGGGACCGAGTCACTTCCTCGTAATCGTTAAATCTGTCATACTGTGCGTATTACTTTTGTTCGCGCCAGGACGCGTTTCATTTGAAAGTTAACCTTTTCGTTCCTACGGTAGCTATATTTCTAGTTATTGTTGTTAGTATCATGTATTTTTTTCATATCTGTGAGTATATAATAGTGTAATATAAAATGTATAATCAGTTAAAAGACAGCATACAAACCGCCAAGAACACTATTATAATATCAGTAGTCGTAAAATATGAAATCTGCAATCCGTCATTTTGACGGGTTTTAGTAGTTCTAGTGTTAATAGTGAATCAGGATGAAGTCATTTAATATATGCTCTTAATATCTCGATGACAGTAGGTTTCATCCCAATTTTGTGCTAGAATTTTAATTACTTGAAAACTTTGGAATTATTTGTTGAAGTACATATCTCTGGAAGATATTTATGGAAGTTTATTTATTTAGAAAGGTTGTTATGAAGTTTATTGTGTCTGTCTATTGCGTGCTCTTTCTAAATATATTTTAAAGTTTATGAAGATGGATATTGACACGGTGTTGATAATTTTCTGTAATATTTTGATATACACTGATATGTAACACTAAGATTAACGAAACAGAGAAAAATCAGATACTTCTCAGTGTTTATTACACGTACAAATAATAATTGGTCTTGTATGTACATGGCATGACACAAATGTTCGTATGCTTTCAATAGCATATCAGTAAAGTGAGACATTATCGTCCTTTGTTTCTTTTGTTTGCTGCAATTCAAATGTTGTGCAGTGTCTAGCAACACAATAAAAACGTATAAAACTTTAATTTCCTTCGAATATATTTCAAACGGGTTCGCTGATCAGAGATAAGAAAAGTGGGTTTTATTATGTATAATAATATTATAATGTCAATTATTATACATAACTGTGACAAAAGTAAAAAATGTTGCCAAATGGCAATGAATGAAAAATGGCACTAAACGCTTTCAAAATGTTAAACTGTACTTGTCACGTAATGTAGACAAGAATGCAAAAAGAAATTTTGTTTAATTGTTAAAGAATCTGGAAATGAAAGGGTTAATCTGGAATGCGATGATTAGTTATTTGTTTAACGATAGTTCATTTCTTTGGCAATCGTTTCAATATCTCCTTGGATAGAAATCTTCAATTTTAATATTCAAACACGGATAGAAATGCGACAAATTTTTCCGAGAAATCTAATACATAAGTTTGAAAATTCAAAACAAACGACTATTATTCTCTGCTGATAACTGTCATTGAGTAGATGCGAAACTAATGACAGTTTTTCTTAATGATTGTTACAGTATTTGTTAGTCGAAATAGTTTGCATTGTGTATAACTTTTCGCCGTCCCTTTTTAAAAAAGTAGAAACTCATATCGACAAAAAAAATAAATCCAGATAATTAATTATACAACAAATCGGTAAATTTATTAATCTACTAGTCTCAATAAAATAATATTACACAAATATTGTTTGAGTTGACATTCCAGCTGAGCAGTTTTAATTCTTACTAACTCTCATGCACTATTTGGGACAACTAGATTGAAATAAAAATTTTAACTCTGAATTACTTGTTCCATTCCAATAATTCATGACTAAGTTTTTATCAATAGCTCATAGTGTATATGTTAAAATTTATTAATAGATTATTTCAACTTCAATTTAATTTTGAACATGGCAGAGAAAGTATTATCTTCCACGAAAAATTCACGAGAATTAACTAATTGTAACGATTAATGTATAATAATGATAACAACAATAATAATAAGTAGATTACATAAGTGACACAATCTGTTGGTTCAGGGACGTAATACACTTTTCATAAAAAATATAAAATTTCATAAAATACTGTGTAGTTAAAAAATTGATTTCATAAAAACACGATAAGTTAAAAAACTTGATTACATTATTCAACTATAGAGAACGCTCGATTTGTTTATATTCTGCACAAAGTGTTGTAATACATTTTCAATTCCTCAATACTAGACGTTTAGAAATTTGAATGTTCCATATTTACAAGAATCTGTTCCAAACAAAGAATTCATAATTTTGAATTACCTACTTACTTTTAAGTTAACAATTAAAATTAAAATTATTGATTTTATAAATTGAAGACACTTCATTCAATAACTCTCTGTTTACAAGAAATTATTCTACTAATTGTCAAAACATAATGAAAATAATAAAAGATGAGAAATACGTAAATTGCATCTAAATGAAGTATACTAAAATTTGAATTATAGTTCAATCTTACTATATTTTTAATAAACATATAATTGCTTGAGTTTCATCATTTAGATTATGCGAGGATCACCTATAAACAGCAATATTAAATCACGCAATGAATCCCCAGGTTACGTTCCAGTACGAGTTCTTTACAATAATCTAAACAAAACGAACTTGAAATTGATGAATTAATAACAATAGGTAGTTAATAATTTATATCTAAAAGAAAAAAAAAACGTTTTGTCTAAGGATTATTAATGGATCTGTAGTTAATATACTTTTCTTTTGAAACGTACAACTAATTAAAAATCAGTCGATTATTTACATGTTAATTTCACTAGATTATTCAGATAAATACTGGTTTCATTAGAGTTACAATGGCTTCTCGAGGTCCAGCTTTATGTTCATCGCATAAATACCATATTCCAAATTCTATAAGTACCGTTAAAGTCTGAATATCATATATAATCCGCAAGTTCATTTTACTAAATGTAGCCAAATTCAACGTACTAGAAGGTTGATTGGCAAACTGATTTTCCGTAGGTCGTTATCTTCGTGGCAGCGATAGTAGGAGCTCTCGCAGCTCCTCAAGGCAATCCAAATGATGTCACTATCATAAAACAGGAAGAATCGAACAACATCGGCGTGGGTGGATATCATTTCAGTTATGAACAAAGCGACGGACAAAAGAGGGAAGAAACCGCGGAATTAAAAAACGAAGGTACCGACGACGAATCCCTCGCTGTGACTGGTAGTTTCAGTTTCACGTCGCCAGATGGGCACACCTACAGGTAAAAAGATCACATATGTAAATTTTTTATAAAAATTAAAAACTACTATAAATGTATAGAAATTATGCGACACAACGTGATCTATCCTATCAAGTTTCTTGAAAAAGATATTAATCGAGTATTCATTTTTAATATTCCGAACATTTTTTTAAATAACTGATTAAAAATACATATTTATCCACTGGAATATAAATATAAGGAAAACTGTTTAAATAATATTATAAAACATTACACCATATTTAATTTTCTGAAAAAAAGGTTAACATTAAGTATTGTCGAAAGTTTTTATAACACTATGTAAAATCGTCAGCGTTGGATATACTACTTTACATTGTGTAATGTGTACACAATTCAGTATTAATATTAACAATAGTGAATAAAAAATTCATTATATAATAATTTTATATAATTCATACTAAAAGTTCTAGTGTTAATGCTTGGATATGATTGAAAATTTCGTCCAATCTTTTCATATTAAGATGACTATATCATTCAATTTTGTTATTATTCAAGAAAATATTTTTTACATCTAACACGTAAATTATTTTCGCAATAGAAATTCTAATATGTTCGATCAAATCCTTTCAGCCACGACTAGTAGTAAGTAATAAAAAATGAAAATACATAAAGCTACTGACCGATAACATTTCTGTAGGGTTGATTACACCGCCGATAAAGACGGATTTCATCCTACCATCAACCTCGTTTCGAAATAAACGAGTTTGAGAACTGAAGTTCTGCGCTACCAACGTTACCTAGGATTCTTCGACCATTGACACACGCCAATATTATAAATGGATTAGAATACTCTATACATATATAAGTTCTAAAAATCGTGTGGCACGTGGTTCACCAACCGATAAATTCGATCGTTAAATGGTACTGGTCATCAGCTCGAGACAATGGGCTAACATGTACTCTTCACGTATGCGAAGTCTTGGTTTTGTTTTCCATCGTTAGATTCATCATTTTCTTCTTCCCGTTTGAACATTGAATCTGCGATTCGAGATGTACCGCCGATGACCATTACCATATGCATCTCGTTAAAGAGGACACACGAAATGCAATTGTTGAAACCAATGTTGAAACAAGACCTGAAGCTTAAAACAATTATAGTGCAATTGCAACTTAGTTTTATTGAACAAAAGGACATGTCAAGTGCACATACATGTTCGGTTTGCATAATTAACTAAGGACAACAAAAAAAGGAATGAAAAACAATTGGATACTTAGAAACATAAAAGACGCTAGTTGCAGTAAGTAGTAACATACATTCCAATTTCATTTGTGAAACGCGTGCCAATGCGCAAAAATGATTTACGTTACGTAATCCTGCGAAACTATTGATAAACACTTTGAATGAGAGGCGTTAGAAGTTCCGCTCACGATCTACTTTTAGGGAAGCGACGACGAAACACTCGTTTACACGCTTTAGAATTGTCGTGAAAATGAGTTATATTTTTTTTTATACATGTTCTCGTATGTATGTATGTATAACAAGATGACAGAAATCGTGCAAATAAAAAGAAATATGTAAACATACCGAATATTCTGTATCTTTCAGATGTTAAACCACCCTACTCACAATACAGTTGATTTCAAATGACGATGTTATGTTACAAATACAATTAAATTTGTACTAAACTAAGTTTAAAAGTAATTCTTTATGCATTTACCTCTATAACATACGTTTAGTCTGTGAAAGAACACCATATTATGTCAGCTTCATTAACTCAATTTTTACAAAATTATTACATAACCGTTTCGTCTTCTGAAGCCTTCTGTCACTTACGATAATGTTAAATACAAATCTTACTTGTTTAATTAATGTTGCAATCAAAATTAACAATTCTAATTTGTATTGGTATAAACCTTGGATAATACATTTTAAATTAGAATTCGTTCAACAGACGGTGAGAAAAAATATGCGGTTTGCTTAAAAATGTATTGTTACTTCGGAAACAGGCAGAAAACGTACACGTCAAATTTTGCAACGAAACTACTTCAATCTATCTGTAACAAAATAAAACTTACAGTAAAATCATGGGGACACCCAACAAAGTATCAATTTATTTTAAATAGTTTATGTAAAATAAATATTATATCGTTATATATCATATAATATAATAATATCGTTATACATACATTATTAATGGCTAATTCAGACCCTATAAACTGCATATGTAATACTGTGAATTTTTATTATACTTGTCTAAATTTTTGTTAACACATGCAGCTTCAGAAATTCGATTCATAAAATTTAGTAGAATAAAGTATTTGACTTGTCCGTTATAAACGTATATACGTTCTACGTAATTTTTCAATATTAACACTTTTGTACATTAATGGGGACTTATCCCTGTTTATCCTTATCACCTCTCTTAACAAAGATGGTATGCTAAATATTCACCTTGATTGGATACTTTTGTATGCGTTCTTTCGCTACTTCAATTAATAACAATTCTTTTTAATTTAGACGATGTGTCATTTCTCAGATGAATGCATCCTAATCGAAAGCATATTCACGCATAAGTCCACCTTTCTTTATTTCGAGATATTTAATGCTTTGTATTTTACCCTATTTGAGAATATTATTAAACGCTAATAAGGTTGATTTAAGCATATAAGGTTCGAGACATTTGTAACTTTATTATGTGACCATTTTTATAAATATTCTCTAAATGTAGCAATGTTTTTGATAAGCGCAAATGGATTTATGCCAGTTTCAAATATGATAAACTATCATAAATGTTACCACTACCAAATTTAAAATTATATTTCGATTGAAGTAGACTTTTTCGGAAATGTAATTCTGCAATATAAATTGTCACGACGACGAATTTTTTTATTTGCGCCCCAATTTTCCGACTTATGCATAATGAATAGCGATTGACATATGTATGTGTAATGAATTCCAACTTTATAAGGAAAGAAAAATATAAGGATCGAACCGCCATCTACTGCCTCGAGCGGTGCACTCGAACCTCGTCTGTCGGTGAATTTAACCACAGACGAGATACCGTAGGCATTCGATTCCCGCACGAGTCGGAGCTGTAGAGTAAGGGTCGACGATACTTTTTTTGTAAAGGGCCAAATAGTAAATATTTTGGCCATTAAGAGTGTTACAGCTTAGCACCCGTTATACACTGGGCGTCAAAATGGTTTTTGAATCGGGAATTCAAAAATTATTTTCATGTAGTTTGTTCCTTTTTTTTTTAAAGATGAAGCGCAGCAAGCGAATGTTAAAAAATGTTGGTCAACTTTGAAAGGATGCGACACCGCATGTGTTCCGGCCTGGGCGTGCTGGGCGATAGAGTAGGGTACGCGCGCGTGTGTGAGAAATAAGTGGTTTTCGTGCGGATAACGATGGCGCGGGAAACAAATGTCTACTGTACTATCTATTTTGCAAACAACAAATTATTGCTTTTACATTTGCGAATATCTCATTAAATATAAACGGTGCGATGGGAGCAATTTTAGATTCCGAGGGAGCAAATTGGGAGCAATTTTTTAAGATATAAGTTGTTAAGAAACACTGATATTCGGCGCCATCTATTTTTCGGTACATAACTGAGGTCCAATTACCTGCGCGCTCTCTCCGTCAATCATCCGTTCACTTTATCGACGTAGCTATATATAGGGTCGGCTGGATGTACGCACTTTTCGATCACCTTATTATGTATCTCCATTATTTTTAGTGATATCAACAAAGTTTATTCACAAGAGTTACTGAGTATTCAAACATTTTATTAAAACAATATTATATACACCACACTTACTGTGATGAAGAATATGCGAGTAGAACGCGACACCGTTTGTATGTATTGTGTTCCTTCCTTGCTGGGTGACAGAGTGGGATGCGCGCAGGTGTGAGAAATGCGTGTGATTGAGGGCCCTTCCTACGTTGAAATAAAATAGCCTGCAATAAACGAGCTTCTACTGTATCCGACCTGAACTACTGACGAAGTATAGATATCTATTCAGTGCTTAAATTTCTGTTCAGGAGGTGGTGCCATCTACTCGGAGGAATTCATTTTCGATGCTGTCAGCGGGCAGGCGCTGGACCGCTTTCGGAGGCTGCGTGCGGGAGTAAGAGCGAAAGACAGAGTAAGACCGAGATTCAAACTCGAAATCTAACGAGGAACTCTCAGAGCCACGCGAGTGGCCGCGCGATACGGCACGGGTGTTTGAAAACTGCCGACAATAGTGAGCCGCGCGCCATGTGTCCTCAGAAAAGTGCAAGCTTTTCGTGTCTTTGTGTCACATTACTTTTCGTCGGACTAATCTTGCCGTCCGGTGAGTACAGGACCCAGATTCGTTGAATTTTAATCGTCGCGGAGAGTTTTTGTTACAAAAATATCGCAGTTCGCCGGTCATTTAATAGTAGAAAAGATCGTTTAGCGACGTTATTTTCATTTGTACAGCTCTATGATAAGTTTCTTGATAGATTTGCTTCATAGAAATCGACCTGACAGGTGCAAAATGTGTTTCGGCTTGTTTGTTTTAAATAAATAAATATGAATGTGGATGTCGCATGAGACTATTTTTCATGACACAAATGTGGGCAGCTGAAAGTAATGTTTGTTACACGTGGACGGGTATTGGAATGATTTAATTGTTGGGAAGTGTTACTCAAGAATTTTTTAGGGTGCATCGAGTGAGGCACGAAAGGGACAATTGTCACTTGAGCCTGTTGCGTGCAGAAACTGCAGCTTTGTTTCGCAGTGTATTGTCGTGATTTGACTGTCAACCCTTTGGAGGAATATCATTAGAACTTTTTTAGTATACACAAGTTTTTTCTGAAAATATTCAATAACATATTGTTATTACTATAATATGGTAATAAATTTGAAAAATATGACATGAAGTTTGATATTTAATAATCCGACAAGTATACATTGTACAATTTCGTTTCCTTTGAATTGAGAGAATTTACAGAAGAATAAAATAAAAATATGAAAATAGAATCAACGCTTCAGCTAATAATTTTCATGTAACAAGTTTATCCATATTTAGAATGCAAATCTACGTCTTATAGATACACTCCACTAAATCTGGTTAAAAGCATTTAAGATATTCGTAGTTATAATTGCAATGAACATGTACTTTGTATGTTATTCATAAAACCCCTAATGTAACTTACAAGCTAAGTTACTTTAGATTTATTTGTAATCTGTCATCAAATTTACCTATTTGTAATTTTCTGATCCAAGTCGATTATGTCATTTGAAGTCACTAAAAAAGATCTACGTCTTACAAATTTAACGAACATCATTTTTCTTACACTGTGTTTATTTTAGAATCATTTTCAAGTAAAATATAGACGACTAAAACTCACTAAATATGACGACTAAATATAGACGAATAATCATACGTGATTATTTATTAATCTGTGTACTCTTTTATGAATATAATAGTCATAAAGTGAGAATCAAATTGTAAACAAATAGTGAAAGTGAAGGGTCGAAACCGTAAGCTAAAAAAGATTATCATTTAAAAAGCAATCATACGTGTCAAATAATTATGTATTCTTTCTAAATAAATGTCACTTATTTACTAGCTTTTAACAATGTTATAATTTTCATCTGTTACTTTCAATACTCCTTGTATTTATTTTCGATCAATGTTTGTACGCAACGAGTGAAGTAAACAATTATAAAAGTTGTTTGATTATTCGATAAATTCTGGAAAAACATTATGTTTATTTATTTTTTATTTATTCTATACGTTGCACATTGCACTTGCATGTTGAATTACAAAGGCGAAAATAAACTAAAAAACGGAGTTATCAATTACGATCGCAATAAATGTTATTACTTGTGAATATTTGTAAAAAATCTTTTAAAAATATAGAGCTCGTTTAAGTTTTCCGATATTTCTCGATTAATACTTTCATATTACTGCATTTTCAATGCAAAGGAAATAAAAGTATCAAATTCGTATCTGTTGTCTTATTGATAATGTCAAGATTAAAATATCACATTAAATTATACAACAATATTGAATTACACGTTATTAATTTGTTTCTTGGTATCTTTAACGCCGCGTTTATATAATTAAACAACATTCTCATTCAAGGATCGTGCAAGTCTGCCTTTGAGACCGACGACCCTCTTGAATTTTCGTCCTTCGAAAATTAACCGAATAACCGAAAGCACTTGTAGTGCTGGATTCTCCGCGAATTTTCCAGTTTCATTATTGCGCTACGAATTAGTGACATAACGTCAAAACCTTTCGGATAATTATCAATCGTACTGGGTCCTTAGTTTTGCTATCAAGGTGAATTTAATTATTTCAGTTTGGTCATATTTTAAGATGATTCGAAACAAGTTTCCACGTAACTTTAACCAATTTATGTTTAATCTTGCTAATTGCTAAAAAATGATTTAACGCATAATGTGGATTACTAATGGGAGTGATTATCAAATTAATGCCATTCGATATTGCTCTAAGACGTTTGGACGTATAAATTCAGTTAGTTCAAGTAATGACATAAAGAAAATGTTTATTTAGTCTAGTAGGTTGGTCTTAAATAAACATAATTACAAAACATAATTACAAAACATGCATAATGTAGTTGCTCACAGATGTATGACATAGCTTACATATTTAATTAACGTTAACATCAGCATTAAGAATTATAATTTATATTAATATTAACTTTGATTAATATACTTTAGATTTGGTTGCATTCAATTCCGAAATTATATACTAACTGAAGTTAGTATTTAAATTATAATTTATTAATTATTAAAACGCACTGCAGTTCACAAAAGAATCTGTAGTTCAATCAATGCACGACAGATTAAAACTTATAGTAAAATTACGAGGACATCCAAGAACGTATTTATTTAATTTTAGTAAAAAGTTACTAATTACAGCTTACAAATATTCATCCTTTTTGCGAAGAGAAATTGACGGTCTCGTCGAAATGTAGCCACTTGGAAAATATTAATTACAGAATATAAGAGGGTAGTTCGAAATGTATGCCAAGCTTTTAGTCAATTGTGAATATAGGTTTCCATTTACGATTTCTATAACTATAACATTTTCAATTCTTATGTATTGTGGGTAAAATAAAAACGAACCACGTATGCCTTGTCTGAAGTCGTATTGGGGAATAATATTTCTCCAGAAAAGGATCGATTATATTCCCTAGAAAAAAGTGGTTCGTTTTTATTTTAACCACAATATATAAGGATTGCTTATTTTAGGGTCGTTTTATAATTATGCCACGCAGTGTATATATCATTTCTAACATGCAAAAAAAGATAAGAAAGAGAAAAAACTGCGGCTGAAGAAAAAAAACTTCATAATTCAGTTTTAATATTTTCTAGATAATTTGTATTCAGTGGTAACACCGCGACGAGTATCCTTTGTCGTGGTCGTAAGTAATTATATATACTACGTGCTGTCTGTGATCAAAGGACTACTCATAAATATGATAAAATAACACAAATTGTACTATTTATAGTAGACTGGGGAGGATTGAAACACTTTGGCGAAAAAACTCGTATAGAACAAAGTAAATAATATTTTAAAGATCCCGTTATAGAGGTGGATTCATCATTATGTTCTCAAAGAAAACGAAACTTTAACTCTTTAAACTTAAACAACAAGCAATTTAAAAAAATATTTTTTAGAAGATTGATACTGAAGGAAACCATTTATTTCTTATAAATTTCATAATTAAAATTTTTAATTGCTCTGTTTACACCAGCGCAGTCTGTATGTGACCTGATTTGTAACCCCTTTATATTTATATTTTTATCTGATTTATAACCCCTTTGCCATTAAATCCAGTATTCATGACATTTGAGAGGTGAATGTAACGAGTTGCAATGAATGCAGCTGACCTCTTCATTTTCGTTTTCAATGTGTCCTCTGCATTATCTGCCTCTGGATTTATTATGTTAACATATACTTTTCCTTTTATTATTCATTTTGATTTAATTTGTTCTTCTTGATACACATTTCTGTATTTTGATTAATATTGTGCTCCAAATATATTTCTTTTGATTTATGGAACTTTTGTCTTCGGGGGTGTCTTTTTCTTTGTACAATATTCTTTTATAAATATAAAATTTTAGAACACTGATATGTAATAATACTTAAGCAGAGTACCTACTTTAGACAATACGCGCAATATAGAATACACTATCACGTAAAATAATTAAAAATTCATAAAAATCAATACAGAAAAAATACACGGTTAGTACGAACACATACTTTCCCTAATAAACAATCGCAGCTCAATAGATTCATTTAATATAATTGTTACATGTAGACATCTGCTGGGAGTATTCTAACTATAACGTACAGTTCTTTATTATCTTTAGACGGGTAATATAAGATTGTATCAAGCCTCCTTACGTATCAAGCCTCCCTAGTCTCCTCTATACCGAGTGTATGGATACTGATGTCGGAAATATGAAGGGGTGCTTCTATGTATATGTCGAAATAAAACGAAAACCAAGAACGATAAAAGTGTATCGTTTTGCAAGATATTGGCAACCAAAAATTGAAACCAATTTTTGGAAGTCTGAAACGCCTGAAACAGTAGGCATTCTGCGTAGAAACAGTACACGAATAACACGACAGTTTCAGCGCATATATTAGATTTTTCTGAAAAACATATGCTCTTCATTCTTAACCACACCTGCGATATATGTATACTTTTCCCTTGATATAATCCCAACAGCTACAGGTCAGTTGCGAGTGTTGGCGACCCTGCCGAAAAACAGGTACAGTAAATCCTCGATGAGTGTTCGAACGCTGACACATTACTGAGGTTTAACACAATGATAAAGCTTGAAATTCTGAAGCCAATGATACTTGTTTCAGCCGCATATAGCCTTTAGTTTATTAAATATTTAATGTCCTTCGCGTGGATTCAAGTACCATTTTCTTACAAAGAAAGTTTTCTTACAGAAATTATCCCTCGGCTTTTTTTTTGCAAAAATGATAATATAAATGGAAACTCTATTAAAATATTGTTACGTGTTACCCGATAGGTAGCACGTATTATGTATTGTCAAAGCGAGTGGCTTTGGGATGGCCAGTTCGACCTTTGAAAAAGAATGACGTGTTAAAGATAAATACTCCTCTAAAATAAATAATTATTCATTTTATAAATCCTGCTTTCTTATTATTGGAGATTATGTCGCGCCCACGCAACAATATATTTATTGTACATATCTTCCGGTATGCGAAAGAATTTTTTCTTTTTTTAGAACAAAATGGCGATGATGATGCTGATCCACGTATTGCTGTATTTCACCTAGAACAAAAAGTGA